AAAAATACTTAATAAAATATACTTTGAATATATTTTAAATATATTTTAAGTATATTTTAAATATCGTAATTTTTATAGAGTGAGATTTGATAATATTTCCTAATATTACTCATGAGAGCAAAGGCACAAAACACTTGTGTTGAAAAAGCTATTAAGTTAAAAGACCAAGCTGTTTCTGAAATCATTGAACGAGAATTAGCTAAACAAGAAGAAAATCCTAAATACGAAACTTGTTATACTCTTAAGGACCTAAATATTGTCAAAGACCATTTGAATCAAATTAAACATCACGTGTGAATCTGAGACAACATCTTAATAGATAACGGAAAAAACTTTTTCAATATTCCAAAAAAGGACAAACATGATTGGAAAGTTCCAAATTAAAAGTGAATAATACTAATCGACATTCTCGAAGTCACTTGCAACCCAATATAAATATCAACACTCCCATCTCATCTACTCAATCTACACCTACTAGAAGACCCTTTTATCGACTATATCAAAATCACGAAACTAATCAGCCCAATTTTTCTTTAAGTGACTTATCACCTCGAACTTCTCCTTCTCTATTACCACGAGACGGTAATTTAAGATCCGTATCCCCAGTTAAATTGACCCAAACTAGATCACCTTCACCAGGCAGCAACCCTCCAAGTCCAAATTGAAGTATCTTTGAAATCAACAACGAAAGTGACGAAGAAGTTTATCGACTACTAGGAGGAGGATTCTGAACTAATAACAATCCAGAAAACTACAAAAGGCTTATTATATTAGGATCAGCAACCAATACTGAAAATAACCTTTTAGAGACCAGTGACTCTTCTGATTCTAATATTGAAATAGACAATCAAGATATTAACCCACCCCAAGATTTCGAACAGGAAATTTTTGATAACTTTCTTGACCAGATCGAACTTGACGTTGTTGCCGAAGATGCTGAAATTGAAGACTCAAAGAAATTTGTAATTTTAGAAGTTCCTTTGGCAGCTTTGACAAGTGTCCCAGAGGTACCAAACTTATGATAATAAGTTGATTTTGCTATATTTTTGACTTTTCTTGATTTTTTTGTTGGTTTCTTCTATACAAGGGCTGTTGCAAGTAAGCGTGTGCGTATCTTTTCTTCTTTGTTAATATTTTCTTCTTGGTCACTGCCTTGTTTGTCAAATCTCTCTAATTCCTCTTGAATTTCTTCACCTAAAACATTTTTTTTTCTCATCTTTTCTTGACTGATTTTTTCCGCTCATTATTATATTTATGGAGCATTGGATATTTTCTTTTGGGCATGTTTATTAAAAAGTAACTTTGGCAAGGTCATTACATGGATTTTAAATTTTAGGTCATTTTTTCTTTAGTTTAGTAGTACAAAGTAGCATTGGATAAAGGACGGGCATAGGAAAAGACATTTGGAAAGATATACAGTGGAACGAAAGGGCAAAAGAACAATTGGAGGATGATGTAAATTTAAAAAAAAAATGGGTCACGTTCTATGTCCCATTTACAATTGATCATGTGAAAATACTACTTTTTCAAAACCTTATAACTCGATAATGAGTAATTATTTTTAAAAAAATTAATCTAGCTACAAAATACAGGCTTTATTTTTTTTGTATCACCTATGTATAATTTTAGGTTACCTTTTAAAAACAGAAAATTTATTTTAGCCTTTAAGTGTCCTGCACTGTATAATTTTAATAATATCAAGGAATTAAAAAAAAGAAAAATTCTTATTATATATTTGGATCATTATAAATAAATAAACGGACGGATATCTATTTCTTTGATAATTATTTCCGAATTTATTTACAGAATCTAGTAATTATCAATAAAAACTCTTAATATATTTAATTACTAAAAATGTTAAAACCAAAACTGACAACGCGCAGAATTTAATACCATATTCATAAATTACTCGCATCACACCATCATCATTAGTTTTAGATTTCTTTTGCGTCGATATTTTCATATTATAAAAACGCGTTTTCAGTATCTGCACTACCTAATCCACTATTGAAATCGATTCTTTAAAATTCACTCCGTAAACCTTTCGAGGGAGCGATCTGCACATTTCGTTCATCCAATTATACAATTTTTTTGATTCCTTTATAAAGTATTAAACATTGGGTTATGCTTGAAAAAAAAAAAAAAAGAAAAACTAAGAAACAAACTAAAATAAATAAAATAACAAAAATTCAAAATTAAATTAAATTCTTTCGAATATAAAAAAACGACGACGTTATTACTTTTATTATTTAATCTTTAATTTCCATTATCTTTCTTTATCCGAACTAATGGATTCTTTTGATTTTTGTGAATCATAATCTAAAGTTGAGATATAATAGAATGATTTCTTTTTTGATTAAATCAATATCATAAGTATTGACATTAAAAAGGAATTGATTCATTGGGACTTTAACAAATTAGGATCTATAATAAATTAAAAATTTTTTGTAATTAAAATAAAATTATAAAAATTATAGAAATTGTTTCAAGAGTATTACCTGAAGATTTTCCGGATTTTATATCTTCCGACGACTCTTGTAATCCATGAAGAGTATGAATACATCTGCTAATATAACATGATTGAGGGTGCAACTCGCTTGAATATGAAAATAATTCTTTCTTTTGAGATTTTGTTATAATTTTAAGATTTTCATCAGCAATTTTAAACTGTCGCATGAATTATTCACCAAATTATATCCTAAAAATAAATCATATAATTCATCAACAGTTGGACGTCCAGAAGGATCGTCACTCCAACATCGATACATCAAGTCTAAATACCATAATGGAATCCAATTTAACATAAAGTCAGGGACCTTTGGTCTAACACCATTACATATATCTATCATCAAATAAATATCATGTGCTTGGTCAGCAAATGGTCGTTGAGCAGTAATTAATTCGTACATGATTCCACCAAAACTATAAATATTACCCTTTTTGTAAATTCATTTCCTCCTAATACCTCAGGTGGAATATATGGAATCATTACCAAATTCACAATTCTAAATCTATAATTGATTTAACGCGAAAATTGTCAAAATCGAAATTATGAAGAAGCAAAATATTTCCACTATGAAGGTTACGATGAACTAAATATTTTTCACGTAAGGTTCCAAGACATTCCAATATTTTATATAATAATTCCATATTTTGGGGCCACATTAAATCCAAAAAATTTTTGGTTAAAAAATTATGTAAGCGATCGCAATCTTCATAATAATTCATAAAAATAATGTAATTTTGTGTAAAAGGATTTTTTGAAACTCCATAATACGTAACAAAGAAATCCGAATTAATAACAACCTTTACCTTGATATGAGACATATTAATTAATTTAATTGTATCAATAAATAAATTATAAAAACATTATTCAATTAATAATGGTTCAGTAATAATTTATAAAGAAATATAAAGAAATAATGAGTACCGCTTTAAGAGGTTTCAAAATATCATATTTAGGATCTTTGATTTCCCTCAAAGTAACTTTTTGATTTTAACAATTATATTCCCAATTCCATTTTTTAGAATTCCAATTACTTTTAATGCCATTTTTAGTTTAGCAGAATACACTGATCCATCAACTGTGTGTTTGATATCTTTAAAATGATCGTAAGGTATCCAATGTAACCTGTTTTTATTAAAATTAACTTCAACTTCTTTTTGAGAATCCTGGATAATCTCATCTACGTTAACATTTCCACCCAAATTCCTGAGTGAAATGCTCTAGATTACATAGTCCACAATAATCACTTAAATAAGTGATCTTGTGAATGATAATTTTAATGTTAAATTAGGGTGTAACTCATATCATATATGTTACTCAAACGTTGGAATCATGTGACGATTGAGATTTTAAATAATAGATATTTGGCTTCAACTTCATTTATTTGAGAATCTTAGATAATCTCATCTGCGTTAAAATTCCCACTTGCCCAAGTTCCAAACTTACATGGTTCGCAAGAATCACTTGAAAAATAGAAATTTTTGTAGAACTGTTTGTTATTTAATGTAAATCACACTGTTATCACCTGACGATTTACAAAAATACACAAATGATATTTAATGTTAAAAAATCAGGAAAGTTTTTGAGGTTTGCGTTTATTTATTATTATTATATTATTATTTTTTATAATAAATAAATTAAAAATTTTAATTATTTTATTTTGTTTTACAAAGTAGTTTATACTTTAACAAAATGCCACAGCAATCTATTATTAGGTATTTTTTTTTAAAAAATATTTTAAATATTTAATATTTAATATTAAATAAAAATATTAAATAAAAATATTGGATACAATATTAAATAATAATATTAAAATAAAATAAAATTAATTAAATAATATTATATAAAATAATATTAATTAAATAATAATATTAAAATAAAATAAAATTAATTAAATAATATTATATAAAATAATATTAATTAAATAATATTAATTAAATAATATTAATATTAATTAAATAATATAATCTAGCACGAACAAAGACAATCCAACCGAACATCATCCAGAAGACTTTGACCAATTTGTGGCGCTATTAAATTTTTTATCAGAACCAATTATATATCCACCAGAAGGATATATGCAAGATAATATATCATTTGAAATATTTGTAAATATATGTTATCATTTACCACCACGAGATTTATTAATGTTAGCATGTGTTTGCAAAAATTTCAAGAATATGTTAGATGGAAAATTATTTCCGATCTGTTCGGAAATTTGGAAAACATCTAGAGAAAGATTTACGGTTTTTAAAGATATGGATCCACCACGAGATATGTCACAGCAACAATTTGTACGATTATTGAATTTTGAAAGAGGATGTGAAAGTTGTAAGAGGAAAGGCAATATTCAAATTTATTGGCCAGCCAATGTGAGATCTTGTAAAGCTTGTGTTTTAAAAAAGGCGAAAACGTGGGTATTATGTCTTTTCATATATATAATATATATCTCTCCAATATATAATATTTTTTTTTTCTTCTCTCTTTTACCTTTTACTCTATCAATATATCATCATAAAAATACATAATATTATAATACATATATATAATTTTATTATACAATATAATATATATATATATATATTTCATATAATAGATATCGAGAATTAGAAATAGAATGGCATTTTAATCAAGCAATATTAAATATAGTTCCACATATTATTCCATGTCCAGATGATAATGATAGAATACAACATTATTGGTTACCACATGCACATGCATTATCTGCTAAATATGAATTAGATAATAGAAATTCAGATAATTCAAATGAATGGTTAACAAATAAAAAATCCGAATTACAACGATTGACGGAAGATAGTTTGAAACGTTATCGATGGATAACACAATGTTGGGGAGAACAAATAAATTTTCAAAAATCTAAAGTTAATTCAATTATTCAAGATATTCATCATCATTATCAAAAGGATTATTCAAATGATGATAAAATTTCATTAAAATATTTAATGAAACATCCAGTTACTGAAAGAATTCTTGATTCGATTATGATTAATCCATTCATTAAACAAGATTTTGATACATTTACTGAATCAATAAAATCTATTATTGTTAAAAAAAAATCATCGGGTAATGATAAAAGGTATTTATTATAATTAAATTATATTACATATATATATATATTTATATTAATTATATATTAAGTATTATTAATTATTAATTCTTATTATTCATTAATTATATTATTAATTACATTTAAATATTTCAATAATAATAGAGAAAGTGTAAGAACATCAATTTATATTCCTCCACCAGTAGCAAGAAAAATATTATCACAGAATAGATCAACCAAATTACCACAAATATATGACCAATTATCAGAAAGCAATCTAAATAAATCAGATAATAAATCAATTAATAAGTCAAACAATAAGTCAAATATTAAGTCAAACAATAAGTCAAACAATAATTCAAATAATAATTCAAATAATAAGTCAAATAATAATAATAATTCAAACAAGTCATCTCATCATCCACCATCTGTTAAGGTCAAAAATGAATCGGGAACAGATAATCGGTCATCAGGATCTATTGAGAATCCTAATTTTATTCCTTTAACAAAGAATAAAATGGCAAATATCAACTTTTTAGATGATGAAACCAAAAATCATTCTGTCAATAATCAATTCTCCAATAATCCATTCTCCAATAATTCATCCTTCAATAATTCATCCTCTAATAATCTATCCTCTAACTATCCATTCTCCAATAATATTCCATCTAATAATCTATCCTCCAATAATATTCCATCTAATAATCTATCCTCTAATAATCCATTCTCCAATAGTCCATTCTCCAATAATCCATCCTCTAATGTTTCATCTAATAATAATCCATTCTCCAATAATCCATCCTCTAATGTTTCATCTAATAATAATCCATCCTCCAATAATCCATTTTCCACTAATAATCCAAATCCATCCTCCAATAATCTATCTTTCAATAATCCATCCTTCAATAATTCATCCAATAATCTATCCTCTAATAATCTATCCAATAATCTATCTAATAATATTATGATAGACAATGAAAAGAGATTACCTTATATACGTGGAGGAGTATCTTCAATAATTGGTAGTGTTGGTAGTGTAGGTGGTTATATAACTCCATCAGTGGATTCTTCAACTATTTCTACATCCAATATAACACAACAGCAAGTTAGAATAGAAGAATCAAGTAAGATATTAATTATTTAATTTATATTATATTATATTTTATTTTATTTTATTTATTTTATTATTTGATATTTTATTATATTAATTATATTAATTAATTAATAATTTTATATTATAATAATATTATTTTCATTAGAACAACAACATATTCCTTTAAATGTTGATAGTAATAACATATCTCAGGATATTCTTATAAGAAGGAATGAAATAGTTAGAACTCTTAAACTAGTGGTGGTGACAACAGATAATCCCACTCATCCCAAGAAGAATAAAATTCAAATTCCATTCACAATTGATATTCGAGATCATTTATTTCAATACTTATCTCATTGTCCTTCATTTAAAATTCCCCCCGATTATACATCTACTGAAGGTTATGATAAACCTTTTTTATTTTCCTTAATTCAAAAACTTCAACAAGAAGCTTCCATATTGACAAATACTTGTAAACATCCTAGACCACATCATATTCTTGATTTACGTGGTGCTTTTGAAAGAGGGATTGATAATTATCCTATATTTAGATGTCTTCATTGTAGGCATATTCCTGCTATTCAACCAATGGTTTGGAAAAGAATGGAAAAACATGTTTCGGAAGTTCACACTTCAAAATTGACTGATGAATTTGCTTATATTGAGGCTAGATCTGTAATTTATTATCTTCATTTTGCTTTTGTACCTGAACTTAATCCTTTATTTCATCAACAATAAATTTTATTCATTTTTGATGAATTCGTTCTTATTATTGATTTTTAGTATAGTGTAAATAGCTTCTTTTATTAAATTAATTGAATAAGAATTTATTTGAATTTTATTAAGGATGTAATATTTTATGATCAATCCATGAATATTCCTAAATTGAATTGTGTTGTCTAATAAATATAATTAAATTTATAATTCATTAATTAAATAAATTAAATATATAATTCATTAATTAAATAAATTAAATATATAATTCATTATATGTAATTAAATATATAATTCATTGTGTGTAATTCAAAATATAATTCAAAGTATAATAACTTTAATATTAATATATATACTTTTAAATGATTTTAATATCATCATTGGAAGATTGTGGATGTGGATGAAAAAACAATAAAATTAATTATGTATTTTTATTGCTTGAATTGTAGATTTTTTTACCATAATCAATTTTTAACCATATCTTTTTTTTATTAACATGATAAGAAACTGGCACTGATTTTTATTAACTGCGCAATTAATCTAAAGAACTACTTTACGTCCCTGATTTACTTTTATGATGATTTTTCTATAATTAAATGAAAGCATTTATATCTTAAAAAAGTACATAAAATACCTTACTAGTAATTTATTTTCTTTAATAATATAAATATAAAATAAATAATAAATATCCAATAATAAATATTTAAATATAAAATAAATAGTAAATAATAAATATCCAGTAATAATATTTAATAAATTTAGATCAAAAATCAATTCCATTATCATTAAGGATCCGGGATGATTATTCGGAACAACAAATTTTAAATATTTTGTTCTCAATCAGAAATCCTTTATACCTAATATCTTTCAATAAAATAAATATCATTTAATTTAATTTTGGGTGTGTTAATAAAGAAAATGCATAATATAAATGTAAGCAATTTTATCCTCGCTGCTTCTTTGAAAAGTGGGTTTGCTTGGACAAAGCCCTTCTGATAAATAATATCCCATCCAATATTTAGTAGTTTTACTATTGAATTTAGCATTTTCCTTGAAACGTAACCACGCTTTTTTGACGATCTTTCTTCAAGAGGTAAGGTGAAATTTTGGAATAAATCTGAAAGTTTCATTATTTGTTTTCCTGGTATATATTGGTTCTACCTTTTGAGATCAATCCAAATCTAATATACTAAGGTAAGTGACTTGTCCGTAGGGTAACTTGCGACAAATTTTTGAAGAAGATTAAGATAAACGAAGCTCGGTTTCAACATCCTGTTGCCAAAATAAAATAATTCTTGATAATTTAACCAAATCCACTGTAAAACATAATAAACATAATAAACGACAAGAAAAATTATAAAGCATAAAATACATAATAAGGCACACTAAATAAAATATATTACTAGCAATTATAATCTTAAAAATTATTTTGTAAAGAGAAACACAAAACAATCTTTTCTCGACCATCTTTTAAAACATGTTTTTTTTTTATTTTGCTCATGTGTTTATTATCGTAGTGTCTTTGAAATAATAATTCCCATCTCAAAGCAACATTCCAAACTTTAAAAACAAAGAAAGAAATAAATGAAAGCGTAAGAATATAAATATTTACCTAAATATTTACATTTTAAAAGTATATCTAACTTTTTTAGGATCCTGAATTTTTTTAGAAACCATCCAACTTAAAATATTTTGTTATCTCTTTTATTATTTTAATAATTTTTGTACAAATCTAATATATAAAAAATAATAAAAATAATAATAATTTTTATTCACATTTACAACTAATATCGTTATTTGTAAACAAAAAAATCATGTGAACATCGCCATAGATCTATCAAAAACGATATTTTCGCAATATAGAATTTCAACCACAAAAAATCATCTGTTGAAAGAATTTATGATTCTTTTAATTTCCCTATGATGCGCTTTAATTTTTTTGATCGTCTTATTTTAGCTTTGCATGCGAAATTTTCCTTGTCCTCCATTTTCGGGAGGGTTTGCTTTTTGTGTAATATTAAACTGGTTTAATAATGCCACGCTAAAAGATAATTTGGGATGATAAGGTTATCTTTTTTTAAAAAAATTACATAATGGATGAGGACAATTGTTTTGAATGTGGTAAAGAGTACATAGGTTTTACTTGGTGCTATCCCTGTCAGAACGAGCGCTTCGAAAAAGAATTCGAAAACTGGACAAGTGGGAATAAAGTAATTGACAAGTTCCTCCAGAAGACGCAATCTGAGGCAAGAGAGATTGACGAACTTCTTGAATGGATTCCTTATCAAGAGTTTAAGGATGTAAAATATTTAACGAGAGGAGGGTTTAGTAAAGTTTACAAAGCAATTTGGATAGATGGTCCCAAAGCGTATTGGGATGGAACCGATTGGGTAAAATCGAATAACGAATTCATTGCCCTCAAAAGTTTAGGCTTTTCTCAAGAAATTAACGATGACTTTTTTGCAGAGGTGAGCTAATAATAAATTATGACACTAGGTTAGGTATAACATGATGTTTTACTTATTAATTTCTATTATAGATTAAGGGATATGCTGAATGTAATGTAAAGTCGAATTTTTCATCTTTCATTGATTTATGGTAACTATTAACCTTGTCTAATCCAATCCGTTATACGCAGTAATGATAAAAAATCGAGAAGGAGTTGATCATCGCATTCTCCAATATTATGGTATTACACAAAATCCGGAAACTAAAGAATATTTAATGGTAATAGAATATGCAACCTACGGTTCTTTACATAATTATCTAAGTAATTTAAGTAATTCAGGCAAAGAATTATTGTGGGAAAGAAAAATTGATCTTTTATATAATATTTCCAGTGGTCTTGAATCAGTTCATTTAGCAGGTTTGATTCATGGAGAT